GGCCCCGCGGGTCAGCCTGCAGCCTGTGCTTGCCGCCTCTCGCCCGGAGGCTGACTTCTTTGTTTTCTGCCCCCCCGCCTCGTCTCTGCAGGACCTGTTCGTTCTTCTGCGGGCTATAAGAAAGCAGAGGATGAGATGTCCCGGACCACGTCTGTTGGAGATCAGCTGGAGGCAACGGCCCGCACCATTTACCTCAACCAACCGCATCTCAACAAATTCTGCGACAACCAGATCAGGTAGGGGAAGGCGGCTGAGAGATGCCAGAGGCAGTGGAGTTAGCTGGGGAGGGGCTTTTCTCCCACCTAGCTGGACCTGGCCTCATCTGCTTCCTCCTGCACCTTGCTCCCCAATTCCCTCCACCCACCCAGAGCCTAGTGGTGTACACTGAAGGAGTCGTGTGAATGCATCTTCAGCCTTCCTCCCCTTGGCATCTATGCTGTGTCCAGCCTTTCTGCGGGCCCTGAGGAAGTTTTATTCTAATATCACCCACAAAGTGAAGTCTCTTCTCTTTTCATCCCTGGGCTGCTTGTCAAGAATCCCCCATAATCTCTTTTTAACCTGATTAGTAGTTCTCTTTAGCAATTTGCAGATCTTAATGTAGGGAAATGCTTTATAAGGGAATCCCACAGATCTCAAAAGATTCTTGGGTCTTCGTTAAGAGGTCTGTTTGCTGGGAAACTTTGCCCAGAGTTATCAGAAAGATGGATGGAAGGTAACATTTAAGTGCCTGCTTTTTTGCTGGCTGCTGTGTTACATGCCTTAGTCATACTAGCTTCATGATTCTCCATCACCTGATGTGGCAGACATTATTACCTTCAGATCAGAAAATTGAAGTATAAAGATGCTAAGTAATGTACCTGTGGTTATGTAGCTACTAAATGGTAAAACTGGAAATTGAACCTGCTCCTCTGACTAGCAAATAGTTTCTTTCTGCTGTGCAAGGCTAGTTTTGTTTTTTAGCATGGGTGTTAGTACATTTTCAAATTTAACTCAACTTTCAGGCTTAGAAAATTTTGGGTCTTGGAGTGACTTTAAGAGGATGTAGTTTTTTGAGCTGCTCAGACAACCATCCTCAGGCATAGAGAACTTCAGTGATTGATCAGATTACACGTAGATTATCGACAAACCTGAATTTCAGTCCAGTGTTATTTCTTGAAAGTTTGGCTCCAACTTTGTTGTTGTTATATGGTTAAGTATTCCACTGCTGTGGCAGTGCTTATACAGGGTGCTTAGCCTGACACCTTCATTTAGAAAGGTCTGGCTACTGGACATTATTGTAGCTTGATAGAATTTGGGGTAGAATAATAGTGTATATTATAGGAGGTGGTATCTTCATTTATTAAGGGAGTATTAGGTTGTGCCAGACTTGTTTTGGGTTTTAAGATTGAACATATTTTTATACTTATAAAAGTGCAACTTAAAAGAAGAGCTGAGCTCTCATTCTAGAATGTATGGGCTTACTTTAAGACAACAAATCACCGTTTCACAAACTAGAGTGAAATCAAAAAAGATAGCAAGCATAGGCAAGGATGTAGAGAAAATGGAACCCTCATACATTGCTGATGAGAAGGAAAAATGGTGCAGTGGCTTTGGAGAGCAGTTTGGCAGTTCTTCAAAAGGTTCCATGTAAAGTTACCATATGACCCAGCAATTCTGTTCCTAGGTGTATACAACCAGAAGAAATGAAAACATATGTCCACATAAAAACTTATGTACAAATGTTCGTAGCAGAATCATTTATAATGGCCAATAAGTGATCACAGTCAAATGTCTTTCAACTGATGAATGATGACTGAATAGATAAGTGTGGTATATCCATACAATGAAATATTATTTGGCTATCAAAAGGAATGAAATACACCTACTACACCATGGGTTAACTTTGGAAACATTATGCTAAGTGAAAGAAGCCAGTTATAAAAGACCTCATGTTGTCTGAGTTTATTTATATGAAATATCAAAAAGAGGCAATCTATGGAGACAAAGTGTTAGATCAATGTTTCCTAGGACTGGGGAAGGGGGAAGAGATTGGAGGAAACTACTGTTAATGGGCATGGACTTTCATTTGTTAATGATGGTTGCACAAATCTTAATATACTTAAAACCATTTGGAATCTATCTAGCACTGCTAATATAGTTCCACTTTTCACACCTTCTCATACATTTCTATTTAATTGCTTTTATAAAGACAAAGATTATTTTTAAGAAGATAAATGCTCTATAAGGGTATGGAACTGAAGAATTACTTTTTTTTCAAACTTTATAGTATGTTTTCAAAGGTATTTTACTTAATTCCTATTAATTTCTTTTATTTTTGTGTCTCTTGGGCTTGTATAAAGCTGGGAGAATAAATCAGGAGTCTTGAGCTTGGTCTAAATTTCCTAGTTTCCATGGGAGGTGAGGATTTCTAAGAACTTAGGTAATGGACTCTCAATACTGTTCTGAAATGAAGATTAAAAACTGACTTTTGAGACTGATTTTATTATTAGATTCCAAGTGGCTACTTATTGTAGGGTTTCATTTGTGCTTTTTTTTATAAGGTAGCAGAGAAGACTAAGTATGGGAATGTAGAATGGGCTGGCTAGATATAAAGTAAGCAGATAGCAACTATTCTATTTAAAAACCTCATATAAGTATATAATTGAACTTGTTAAAATATATCATGTTAAGTATGAAATTTTAAAAAAATTTCTGAGTGCCTGGCTTATCCTGTGAGCATAAGTTTCTGAATGCACTGGGTGGTGTCTAAGAAATTAAAATATGATCTTTGAGATTCTATAAAATGGCCTTTGAGTATGCGATTCACCTCTACTCTGTGTTTAAGTAGGAATCACTGATGGTTATCAGTAACTTGTAGTTCATTAGGAATTAATTACAAAACTTCTTAGCATTCGAGTTTAAGGGTTTTACAAAACATGGGGCCATGATGTTTTAGCATTTTAAATTATGCTGAAATCCAGTTTAAAAAAATATTGATTTTTTAAAAATAAGGATTTTTTTCTTATCCTGGCCATGAATGTTTGCTGAAGGTTGATAAAGCTATCCAAGGGAATCTTTCTATAAAAGGAAATTGATAAAAGATTTCTTTTTTAAATATAATTTTTCATGAGAAAAGGTTACCAGTATTTTTTCTTAGAGGTAGGGCCATGAAAGTTTCATCTCAGTTTGCTGTGTGTGTGTGTGTGTATTTTTTTTGCAGGGTTGGGGATTGAACCTAGGGCCTCATGCGTGCTAAGCTCATGCTCTACCACTGAACTGTATCCTCCAGCCCTGTTTGCTTCTATATTGAGGTTTTTGAAAAGAAGGGACATATGGGACAGCTGAGGCTCACACTAGTATACTGAATCAGGAATGTCTGATTATACACCTCAGGAACCCTCCGCTGTAGGAGAGAGTTCTCTTATTTCCCCCCTCCCTAAACCCTTTCTGGCGTGGAACCTTACAGTCTTGGCAGGTGCTCTGTGCTTGTCTCTGTGAGAAATTCATGGTTTGACTTCCAGACAGGGATGGGGCTCAGAATTTGATGCTAAGGGAGGGAGGTTGCTGTTGGGTATAGGGAAAGTAAGTGAGGGGTGATATACTTCAGGACAGGTATTATGTAGTCAAAGGTTAACATTTGGAACTGGTGTGATTCAACAGAGGCGGGGCCTGGAGAAAACTCTAAAGAGCAGAAGTGAATAGTTCACTTCTGGGGTTGACTGGCCTTGGCAACCCTGTAGGAGTGCACACTATGGGAAGTCTAAATTCTGAGAAATTTCTTGAATTTCTGGGAGAGCTTGTACCTTGTACATGGTTGTCCCTCCAAATCTTGGTCTTGTACTTGACACTGAAAGCAACACCAGTGCCCAGTCTGAAGCCAATGACTTTGTATTACCTTCATGGTAGAGAATTATGATTGATCTTTTTCCTAGGCATTGATTCTCTAAGACTTTGTGAGGATAGTAAATTCCTTTACCCCGAAAAAGAAATAGTAATTAATGGGTTATTTTTAATGTGTGTGTGTGTGTGTGTGTGTGTGTGTGTGTATGTGTCTACCTAACAAGGTCCCGTTTTCCCCAAAATATATAGTCCTGTTTCCTTTAAAATGTTTAAGTGCATAATTCAGCCATCTAAAGTTGTAGTCATTGGTTTTTTAGTATATTCACAGAGTTGTACAATTTTAGAATATTTTGACCACCTTGAGAAGAACTCCTTACCCTTTAGCTGTCATCCTCTTATTCTTGCTTCTCCCCAGACCCATGCAACCACTAATCTGCTTTATATCTCTATAAATTTCCCTATACTGGATATTTTATGTGAACGGCACCATATCCTTTCGTGTGTTGTAAGTTACATATTAAATGCTTTCAAAAAATTTGCTGTGTAGAGGAATCTGGTAGGTCAATCTTTAATTTTGTATTTATAAATTTTTAAAACCATTTAAAGTTAAAATGCTTCCCCCACCAAAATATACTTGAAGTAGTTGACTGATCAAAGGAATGAACAATATTTACGTCATCATGATCAGACATATGTAATCTTTCTATGTGATTATCAGCATGTCATTTGAAATAGTGAATTTCAAGGCTATAAGGAGGTTTTTTTTCCCCAATTCTGAAATGAGATCTTCAGAGCAAGTTAGAAATGTTTATAGATATTCAGTTTTGAGTGACTCATTCATTTCAGGTGGGCGTTTTAGCTAGCAAAAAATCTTCATTAAAGCAATAACTTGAGCTTTGTTAAGTTACTGAATTTCTTCAGATTGTTTATCTTAAAAGGAAAATTGCTTTTTATAAATATTTTATTGACTTTCCCAAGGCAAGTTTAAAATATTACCTTTTAAGCAAAGGTAATTAAGCACTTTGTGTTAAGTTTGTATAGGAATTGAGCACTGTGTGTTACGTTTTATATGTTAAGCATTCCTTAAATCTGAAACTTTATGAACCACACATGATGCCACGGGTGGAAAATTCCACACCTACCAGCATGTGGTGGATTGTAGTTATGCACATTAAAAATATTATATAAAATTACCTTTAGGATGTGTGTATGAGATACATAGGTACAAGAAAATTCGATGTTTAGACTGGGATCCTCTTTCCAGGATGTTTTATCATGTGTCTGGAGACATTCCTAAGTCCAAAACCTAAACAAAACAAAAGCAAATGAAATTGGAAACACTTCTTATCCCAAGCATTTTGGTTAAAGTATATTCAACCTGTAATATTATGCTGGGATTCTAAAATAAGAGAATGGA